GAGAGAGCATAGCGTCTGTGTGTGAAAGCAAGTGGGTGCTTGGACAGCTCACGCCAGAGAGAGAGAGAGAGAGAAAGAGAGAGAGAGAGCATAGCGCCTGTGTGTGGAAGCAGGTGGGTGCTTGGACAGCTCACGCAAGAGAGAGAGAAAGAGAGAGAGAGAGAGAGAGAGAGAGAGAGAGAGAGAGAGAGAGAGTTACGTGACAGTTACAAGGCACACCTCGAATACAAGGTACGTACCTTGTATTCAAGGGTACCTTCTATTCGAAAACTTAACAGCGATTTCTTAGAGCCCGTTTTTCCGAGGTAACTTGAATACAAGGTACGTACCTTGTTTTTGGGTTAAGATGGTAGGTGGGATCTGAGCGATGCTCTAGAATGCAAGTGAAGGTTTCCCGCCCTGGGTGTGCGACACTCCCCTGGACCCTCTCCCTGAATGTTGCTTTCTCCAATGCATCCCAATCCTCCCCTCTTTCTCCTCTCTCCTTTCTCCTCTCTCCTCTCTCCTCTCCCCTTCCTTATTGAGAAAGGGGAGGTTTATGCGATGGCAACCCTCTCAAACGATTCCCGCCCCATTTCAAAATCTCTTCACCATCACCTGCTTCCCGCCCAACCCGTGCCTCACACAAGTTTTCAAGGCACGTATCAGCGCTAATATTTTAGGTGTCGCTTACCGCAAAAAATGAGCTGCAGAAAAAAAAAATCAGGTCTCAGTGGACGAGGACAAGGGCATGAGTGAAAGCAGACACATACAAGGAACTTACGAACAAAGTGCTTCTTCATCGGGACAAGGCCTGACAATCGTAAAGCAGAAAGGATAGAAAACAATCAACTGGGTTTCGGTAAGTGGTTAGAAAGGCTGGAGGTAGAGGGGCAGCTTGTTGTTGGTCTGGCAGTCTGAAACTACAGGCCAAAGGAACATATTTGACGGTTTTGACCACTAATACCTCCAGATGATCCTCCCATTAACCAAGAAGCCACAGGTACCAGCGAACTTTGTTAAGGCCTGCAGGAAAACAGGAAGATAAGTTCTAGGTTTTATCACTGATCTGACAGTCCGAACAAGTGGGTCGAGAGGAACATCTTTGAGCACCAGTACCTGCTGACAATTCACTCATCAACTAGGAGGCCACAGGTACCACCGGACTTTGTGAAGACCACACAATCGATCGGTCGATCGATCGGTAAGTAGGTAGGTAGGTAGGTGGGTAGGTGGGTAGGTGGGTAGGTGGGTATGTAGGTTGGTAGGCAGGTCAGTAGGTGGGTAGGTTGGATAGATAGATAAGACTGAAAGATGTGTGTGTGTGTGTGTGTGTGTGTGTGTGTGTG